TAATTTTAAAGATTTTAGGTTATAGTGAAAATAAAAATACATTGAAAGATTTTATAAAAATAATATTTCAAATAAATATAAGAAATATAGGTGTCCGTTGATTGGAGCCACCCAACCCTTACCTATATTCCAAATAAATATAAGAAAGAAAGAGTTGGGTGGTTCCAACCCACCCAACCCTTATATCCTAGTGTTAATAACAATAAAAACAAAGAAATATTTATTTTAGAAGGAGATTTATATAGATATCACTTCCTTTAACTTAGGTCATATTATTAAAATTTTGTTTTTTGTAACTCTTGGGTATAAAAACTCCCTATAATCTCTTCATTGTTTAAATCAATAATTTTATAGGTAATAGGATTTGTGTTTAAAATTTCATTAAATATAAATATTTCTCTTGTTCAATTATTAATAAATTTATTACCAAATGTTTTTTTAGAAGCTGTTGTTCTTACTCTATCACCTACACTAAATTTAATTTTTGGTTTAGGTTTGTTTTTTGTAGAAATAAATTTGTGAAAAACAACATCTTCGTTAGATTTATTTACTTCACAAGGTCTCATACCAATAGATCGATGTATGTCTTTGAAATTATATTCATATATTAAACTTTGTAAAATTTTAATCCATTTTTTTGAATTTGTAACTTCAAATTTTAATCTCATTTTATTGTTTAATGTCCTATTAAATCTTTCAATAATTGATGATTTTTCTTTATTTTGGGTGTGATACATTTTAATTCCATATTCTTGCAAAACTTTTTTAAAATGTTTATTTTCAAATTTCAAACCTTTATCTGTGTGAAGTAAATTTGGTGCTTGATGATTTTGTGATATAGCTTGTTTTATTATTTTTTGAAATGCTTCTGAAACATTAATTCCATCTTTCTTTTTGAGTTCTAAGGCCCAAGAAAATTTTGAAAATGTATCTATAACAGTTAATATATAAGAATAACCCTCATTTTCATCAGAATAATTTCTCATTATAACTAAATCAGCAGCCCATGAATCATCAATACCTTTAGTAAAAATTCTTCGTTTAGGAAATTTTTTTCTAACTGGTTTATGAAGTTCTTTAGCCAATATCATTTTATCTGTATCATTTAATTTTTTATTGGAAATATTATGTCCAATTGTAGGATTTTTTATAAATTTATTTTTATTTGTGTTACAGATAAAACATTTTGATGAAATTCTCCATCTACCATTAACTGTTTGAATTTTAGTTGCATTAATATTTTTTGTTTGAATTTTACATTTAAGACAATATATTAGATCGTCACTATTAATTTTATATTTATATTATTAAATTTTAAATAAATTGTTTATAGTTTTTAATAAATTCTAAACACAAATGTCCACATATAGGTGGATCATCATATTCTTGGAATTTATCATCAGTATATTGAAGGTTATCCTCACCAAATTTTTTACAAGTTCTGGAGGAGGAGGCATTCCAAATGAATCGAAATACATTTTTTTATTTTTTTCCATGCAACCCAATGTGACCCGTCTTGAGTAGAATAATTTAAATTTATTATTCCACATTCATTTACCAGTGGTTTAAGAGGTAATTCATCTCTCATGAAACAACCTCTGAATATTTTTATATTATTTCCAAATTGTATTATATCAAAATTACTTAGCGGTTCAATTTTTAGATATTTTTTTTTCAAATTTTTTATAAATGATGATTTATTGAAATGATTCATTTTTTCAATTTTTTTTTTTTTCTTCAATCCAGAACCTTTATTTTCCATTGCTTTATTATGTCGAATTGTTTCTTTTACAATTACATTTTTATAATTTTTATCATTAACACTGTTGTAAATTGCTGATACACCTCCAACTAACGCGCTAGCTGCACCTATCCCTGCAAGTAATGGTAAAAATCCACCTTTTTTATCTTTAATTTGTAAATTTCGAATCTCTATCCTTACTCCAGATTTTTTATCCTTAGCGTTTTTTAATTTATCTAATTGAATTTTATCTAAATTATAAATATTTTCTCCTTTAAATATTTTGTTACTAGCAAATTGAAGTGTTGCATTAGTATTATTTTTATGAGCTTCTTGTAATTTTTTAATTTGATTTTTATTTAATTTAAAATAGTACGTCATTTTATAATACAAAATATTATAAAATTTATTCATATATCAAATTCATTCCTAAACGTCTTTTTCCTTTCATTGCATATGCAGTTAAAATAGCCGGAATTTGTTCAGATATAATACTATCAGGATCATTATATCTTTCCAATGCTTTTTGTTGTACAATTTTATCAGCAATATGTCATGATTATGTTCTCTTGCAGCTTCGTCTAATTTGTTGGTTGGTTGTATATTTCGTTCTTCATTTTTCTCTAAATCTGTAAATGGTCCTAAATATTGCATCGGAGGTAAATATTTACAATTCAAAAAATCATTAAAAAATCCTGCACCTTTTATAATTTTCTTTGGTAAACTTGAAATAAATGACCATAAATATATCGGACCTTTATCTGGAATATCAATTCCTTTTTCCATTATTTTAATACAAAAATTAAGAATTTCAAGTTTTTTATTATGATGATAATTATTTCCTACTCTTTCTTTACTAGATATATAATATATTTGTTCGTTTTATATGTATGTCATTTGTTATTTCTTTTGGTAAATTTATCACATATTGTAGTAAATATTCAATACCTTTAGGATCATCTATTAAATGTTCCATTTTTGTTTTAAATAATTTAAGAATCCCTTGTAGTTCATTATGATAAGTATCCTGCTTTTTGTTCAGCTGCTATTAAATGTAATCTTTCATTTAATTGTTTCATTTTATCTATCCAACGATATTCAATTTCATTATTTGTATAATTCATTAAACCAGCTCCTTCATTTTCTGTTGCTTTTGTAGGTTTTAAAATTTCTGTTGTTGGCTTTAATGGTTTTAAAATGTCTGTTGTTGGTATTGTAGGAAAATCTGGTATCGTAGGATTTAAATTTTCTGTTGATGTTGTTGGTGTTTTATCATTTTGAATTTTTTTCCAAATAGGACTAATCAATTTTATATATTTGTTACCTCCACTTGATCTAACACTATTTGTATTTTTATCAAATTGTTTGTATATTGCATCTGTTTCAAGTAATATTTGTGTATATTTTTCTAAATCTTCTTCATTATATTCATCTTTATTTGGGGCATCTGATCTCGTTAATAGACTCCACATACCTGGAGTTATTTCACGTTCTTTACCTTTTAATATTATATTATCTAAATTAAATGTTATTATTTCTTTTCCGATCGAATGTTGATTAGTATTTTTATTAAAATTTATTCCAAATGCATTATGTTCAGGTAAAGATGCTAGAGCTATACTAGAATATTTACCTAATATTGTATCAGGAGGCAAAGGAGATGAATTTTTTAATTTTTTTGGAGAACTTTTAGGTGTTTGAATATTTTCATAATCCTCTGTACTTAATATTCGTAATAGCTCTGGATTACGAGGCTTATAAGGAGTTGTAGGTATTAACATTTTTTGAATATCATTATCAGTTTTAATAGCAACCTCTTTAACACCATTAACAGATGATTCAACTTTTGATAAACCTTCTAATATTGGTCCAAATTGTTTTACTTTATCTTCAGCTGAATGTTTATCGTCTATAACTCTTTTTCTATAGTTACTTATTTTTTTTAATACTTATTATTTTTTCTGTTTTCTAGTGAATATTTTTTTTCTTGTAATTTTTTTTCATCATATTCATCTTCATATTCATCTTTTCTCAAATTATTTACCTTTTTTTCAGAATGTGATAAATCTGATTTTTTTAATTTATTTTTTAAATTTTGTTCAAGATGAATTAATTCTTTAATATTTTTAGGTTCGTTTTCTAAATTAGTTCCTTCCTTGAAATTGTTTTGTATTTCTGATGGATCTGTAAATGTAACTTTTTTTAAATTTTTTTTTATTATTTTTCTTAAATTGTTTTGAGTTTGTTTAACATTCATTTATTTTATGAAAAATATTAATTTTTTCATTATCAAGTATTATTAAGTATAATCAAGTAGTTTTTCAAGTTTATAGTACAAACAATTATTGAGTAGATCGATTGTTATAAATCCATTGTCATTTTTCCAACAATCAGAACATAAAGTTTTAAAATCATTGAAAGAAATAGTATTACTTAAAAAATCATTCCAAATGTTTTTAATATATTGAGTTGATTTAAAAACTTGTGAGAGTTAGTGACTTTTTAAGGCCACCAAAACCACCCATGACGAAAGGGGAACACTTTCCTCATGACCTGTGAGCCGCACCGCGTGAGACCCGAGGGTCAAGTCGGTGGAGCTCACAGGCTTTGATACACGCAACGGCAAGCTGAATGCCGAGGATTTATGTGGGGAGAGAGAGAGAAAAAAAAAAAATAAGTTAATGAAAATAAATAATAAGAGCAATATTAGGGTAATCACGTGGATGTATTTTACAGGTTTTTTGATTGTAGATAATTTAAATAAGGTTTTGACATTTTTCAGTTTAACAAAAATAAAATATATAGCATGGCACATGGCAAGTAGGTATAAAATATAAAAGGGCACATGGGAAACAAAAAAAACAACGCTCGGCCCACGGGGATCGACACATCACATTACTCGTGGTGGTCTCCACAGGGTTACCGGGGCAGTTTAAATGATTTGGGGGGGGAAATGAAAGGTCGAACGTCTGTAAGTGTGGTCCGGGGCCCCCTACTTAAACGCGCACAGGGACAGCTGGTTTTTTACGCCAGCTGTATGTGAACGCGTAGGAGGTTACCCGCTAGGCCCCAATGGCAACCACACCTGGACGTTCTGCAACGCACATTTCACAAGTATCGTGCTTTTAAGTGACAAAAAATAAAAAAAAAAGGGGGGGAAATTTTGTAGGTATTACTCTGACGACGTTGAGCTTGAGATGTGTTGTTGACCGAGGAACTGGATGGGCTGGTTAATACCACCGGCACACACGCGGCCGGCATGGCCCATCTTGTCGTCGATCAAACCGCCTCGGATGGTGACGGCGACACGGAGGTTGACAGGTTCAGCAGCCTTGCCCACCATCGGGCCCGTGAGCGGTACTTAGCCCATCATGGCGGTTGGTTCCCGTCGATTAAAAACAATAATAATAATCACACGCGGAGTGATGGTGGTCGACACGCGGTTGTGGTCGTTGTTGAAAAGTTCGGGATGCGTCACGGTACCAAAACGTCTGATTCGTTCAGCGATCTCGGAAAATGTGAAAGACGGCCGATGTTGTCTTGTCGCTGGTCGTGGCCGTTGATGTTGACGTGGTGGGGAAGGTCAGTGTCGCATTATAGGGACGTTTACAATAATAATTGGGAAAACAGACTGCTTTGTCGGTGCGTATCGACGGACGCGACAGCTGCGACCGGCGGTGACGACCGGCAACGGCAGCGGCCTGTTGGCGGGCGGACACTGCGGGTTGTGGGGGCCGGGGTCAGGTATTATGTAACATTGTGGTCATTTATGCATTGGCGCGCGATAAATATAATAATATCACAATGTAATCATAAGTAATAATAATAATGAAAAATAACATGCTCAGGGGAACTATAATAATATTAAGTAAGGCCTAAAATTCTGTGACGTTACATAACCCCCCCCCCCAACAAGTTGTTAAGGTTGTTACATAAGTCGGAACTGAAAACCACTTGTTGTAAGAGAAGGAGGAACTGAATTTTAGGGGACCATAGACATACAATTTGGGGAAATTTAACATTTTAATGAGGGACATCATAGCAATATCAAATACATAATGATAACATTTGCAACCATAACAGAATAATAAAGTTGGGTTAGGGAGTATAAGTGGTAAGGGTACTAGCATCAAAATAATAATATAATAAAACCTACACATCTGTGCGCACACAGTATATAATAATAATAAAACTAACCAAATATAATTGCCTCACTAGTCCAGGGAGCGACGATGATACCACTAACCACTTATATTCCTAACGGGGAACAATATCATTAAAGAAAACCTAACCAGGGAAAGAGAAAAGAACTCTGATACAGTCTATGCCTTTACTGGGGTCACGACTGTATCAGGTACGACCATATTATGGGGACTTGATATGGAAGGGAGAAAGGGTCTCTGAGACAGTCTATGCCTTTACTGGGGTCACGACTGTCACAGGTACGACCATACTATGGGGACTTAGCATGGAAGGGAGAAGACAAAAAAAATAAAAATAAAACTATTGTGTACAGGCAAGATAACACGGACCTTGCACTGCTTAGGTTACTCTGGACATTTTAATTTTACACGCATGGCAAGCCATGGTGGGACCTAACATTATGAAGGGGGGCTAACGAGAATGTTCCTGCATGTTGTGGTGAAAGAGCGGTCAAGAGGCGGGGTCTGGTGGCTCCTTTACCCCCTTGCGGGAAGTCACCCTCCAGATCATCAACTGTAGTTATAGTAACCATATAGTTTATGGTTGATATAACTGTATCCATGACATTTTTCCAAGCCAAGACTTTGCAACATAGTGCCTCTTGGTGTATGATACAATGAAAAACCATGGACGTTTCAAATTTATTATCAATCATTTTAGTCTTAATTCTCCCAACAAAACCTTTATGTATGCCACTCATATTTTTTCCACCGTCAGTAGTAATACTTATTAATTTTTTTAACGAAAGCCCTAATTTTTCGAATAAATTTTCTATATTTTTAAATATATCTTCACCTGTTGTAGTGCCTTTTATATTACACATATCTGCGAACTCTTCATAAATATTAAACTCCTTGTCTATACCACGTATAAATATTAAAAGTTGAGCTGTGTCAGAAATATCTGTGCTCTCATCAATAGCTATCGAAAAACAGTCTAATGACGGTATGATATCTTTTAATTGGGAAAATAAATTATTTCCCAATTCCTCAGTTCGCCTCACACACGTTCGAGTCGAAAGACTAATTTCTTCAAATAGTTTTATTTTTTCTGGACATACTTCATTCGTTACAGCTAACATGCACTTTTAAAAAAACTCAATGTCAGTAAAAGGGCGATTGTTTTTTGCCAACATTTCAGCAACTACATAACTTGCTCGTACAGACGCTTCGTTACGTGTATTTTGGGATTTGAAAATATTTTGCTGGCTACTAAGAGATGTTAAAAAATGTTTTATTTTCTTTTGTCTTAATTCACCAGTTAATTTTCAAATTTTGCTTTATGCTCATTGTCGTAATGTCGCCTGACGTTGTATTCTTTCATTACTGTTATAGTTTTATTACAAATTAAACATAATAACTTACCATCGTGTTCGATAAAAAAGAAAAGTTCGGTCCGATCTTCTTTAAAAATACGATGCTCATCGTTAATTTTTCGTTTAGGAGCCATAGAGTTAAACGTACAAAAATTTGAAACACAGAACTGAGACAATTACACTTCACTAGAAAATCGATTCAGTAATACTAAGTCGTATTTCGTTTTGTATAATAAATTATTATCGATGTTTAACAAAACGTAGATAACGTGTACAATGTTTCTATACATAATATCTATTTTTGTTCAATAATTGTACAACTAACTTCTAGTGAAAAATGCCAATTTTTATCAGCAAAGATTAAATGTTGTATAATATTTTTAAACTAACTATAAATAATTATCGCGGGCCGCATAAAATTGCTATACCCCTGATCTAAAGGAATATCATCAAAAACAACTACGCTATCACGTTCACATTCGTCTACAGATATAATATCTGTATCAGATATATAAAAATAAATCTCAGGTATACCTTCAAATATTTCTATTAGATCATTATAAACTGGTAGATCGATATTTTTTGTAAAAATATATACATTTTCATAATTAGTCCAATGATTTAGAACTATATTCCTCAACACCTCTGTTTTACCAGAGCCTGATGGACCAGTTATTTGAAGTCGCATAGGTAAATGAAATAAAGATTAGTAGTATAGGGGTCACTATGGTACACTTTCATTTTAAATGCAAAATTCCTTAAATTATTTTGCAAATCGTGAAACGCAATAATTATTAAAATATTTTGCAAATCGTGAAACGCAATAATTATTAAAATATTTTTTCATAGAAATTGAAACGCAATATTTCCTAAAATATTTTTTCATAGAAATTGAAACGCAATATTCCTTTATTTATTTTGCAAATCGTGAAACGCAATAATTATTAAAATATTTTTCAAAAAATCTGAAATGCAAAAATACTAAAAATAATTTTCATAGAAATTGAAATGCAAAAAATACTAAAAATATTTTCCTATGGGGGACTTCGGCACACCTGACATTTAAATGCACTAATTACTTAAAATATTTTTTAATAGAATTGTTCTATCAAAAATAAAAATCGAAATAGCATATTTAATTGCAAAATGTATTAAAAAGAAATTGAAAAAATTAATTTAAAAATTAAAAATATAATAAATAATAAAAATAATGGCAAATATAAATTCTATAAGCATATTAGAAAATATGAAAGTCTCTGAGCTTAAGTTAATAGCAAAAGAGGCTAAACTTAAGGGTTATAGTACCCTTAAAAAAAATGATCTTATATCAAGAATTAGGAGAGGTCATACAATTCGCGATTTAACAACTTCTGAGCTTAAGTCAATAGCTCGAAGTTTTGATATAAAACAAATTTACAAACTTAATAAAGAATGTTTAATAAAAAAAATTAAATTAACAAGAAAGCAACAACCTTTTCGTAAATTTCAAGAAGATATATTCAAGGATGAAGTTTTTAATAGTTCATTAAACAATAATCCATTTCAGAAGTTAGAAAAAACAATTTTCACCGAAGAAAATTATTTTAATAGTTCATTAGAAAAAACATCAGATGTTTATGATTTGATAGATATAATTCAAATGAATAAACAAATCCAAAAGAAATTTAAAATACATGAAGCTGAATATAAAATTCGGTTTAGAGAAGCTTTAATAAAAGATCTAAAACTATGTAATGCAAAATACAAAATTGATTATGTACATAAAGCTCTAGATTCCATGTTAAAACTTGTCCAAAAAAATTCAAGTTATGAAAAAGGTGATCAAATAAATATTATAGTGATGAATCCAAATTTAAACAAAACTATATCTACTGGTATGAAATCTGATAATTTTTTAACAAACTTAAAATCAATTATTGTTAACATATTAACTTCAGCTGAAACAATTGATATAACAGAAACTACTTTTCAAGTTCAATTAGTGAAAATACCAAGAGGTTCAAGGAGAACTAAAATAATTAATTTATCAGAAAATATAAAAACAAAAAAAAGTATTATTGAGATTAATAACGATGATAATTTATGTTGCCCGAGAGCTATTGTTGTTGCATTATCTACTGAAACAAACAATATTTTAGGTCATGAATTAGACCCCAATAAAATTAAACAATTGAAGATAGGTAGAAAAATTCAAAAAGATTTAGCTTTAGAATTATGTAATATGTTACCAGAATATAACGAAGAAGGATTTACATTGAATGATATTAAGAATGTGGAACTTGCACTAGATATTCAAATAAATGTTATTTGTGCTGAAAATTTAAATACTTTAATTTATAAGGGTGAGGATAAAGAAACTAAAATTTATTTGTATAAAAATGGTAATCATTTTGATGTTATTAAATCCGCTAAAGCTTTCTACGGATCGTGTTATTATTGTAATAAGTGCGATAAACCATATCAAAATAAAGATAAACATAAATGTGGTAAAAATAAAAATAAAAATAAATGTAAATTGTGCACATATTATGGTGAGAGATTTGAACATTCAATTAGTACAAAAAATAAAATATATTGTGAAAAATGTAATAGATATTGTTATAATCAAGAATGTTTAGATAATCACGAATATGTATGTGCCTATGTATATAAATGTATTGATTGTAATAGAATATTGTTTAGAGGTAGGGAACATAATTGTGGTTATAGTAAATGTAGAAATTGTCTAGAAGAAGTGAAAATAAATGAACATCAATGTTATATGCAAAGTAGATTAGCAAAAGGAGGTAAATGCTTAGTAGGATGTACAAAATGTGGAGGTACAAATAAACCATATCAATGTTCTTATACAGAAAAATATTTGTTTTTTGATTATGAAGCTCAACAAGAAACAGGAACTCATATCGCAAATAAAATAATTGCTCATGATTTTGAAGGAAATAAAATTATGTTTGATACAAATGAAGAATTTTGTAAACAAGTAATATCTGAGGAATATAGGGGTTATACATTTATAGCACATTATGCAAAAGGATACGATTCACAATTTATATTGAAATACTTGGTTGATAACACTCTGAAACCATTTACAATTTATAATGGTACAAAATTAATGTTATTAGAAATTAAATATTACGAAATATGGTGAACACATAAGTAGTATGAAAAAGAGAGTTCAGAAGGCCTATCCGCACATCCTTGCACATCCCACATCCGCACATCCGCACATCCGCACATCCTTGCTCGTCCTTGCACATCCGCACATCCGCACATCCGCACATCCGCTCATCCTTGCTGGCCCGCCGCCCGACTCGTCACGTGTGTGACGTATATTTTACCCCACCCCGTCCTTGCTCATCATCGCCACCGCCTGATCCGTCGGACGTAATGTACAGCGCATGCGTACAACACATAGTCTCTTATCCAACAGTCGTATGAATTATTGTGTATATTATCGTGCATATTATTGTAAACTTTCTTTCATTAAATAAATATTGAAAAAAAGATTGGCGAGATTCGAACCCTCGACCCTCGAGCTATGCACTGACGCTTTAACCCACTAGGCCACACACCTGATATACTAATGAGTTGTTTCTTAATGTATATAGCTGTATGAATATTATTATTATCCCCGTCACATATTTCCGCGCATGCGCACTTATTATCTAAATTATTCGAAAAAATAAATATTGAAAAAAATAAATATTGAAAAAAGGCCCTGGAGAGATTCGAACTCTCGATCTCCGTCTTACATTCTGGCGCTTTAACCAACTAAGCTACAGAGCCGGTTTACTTTTAGTATGATTCTCAATGTATATAGCTGCATGAATATTATTGTACACATCTCAATGTAATAACTGGTTGATACATTTATGTATCAAGGTCTTATGCTACATGTTTGTAACACATTTAAGAATAATATACTTATACAATTACAATCTTCAGGAATAAAACGACGTGTGTGTTCCGACATACCCTATCTATTGTTAACAAGGAGACTATACCTCTTTGTATATTTTATACAGGCAGCGACGTGTGTGTCTCCGACATACCCTATCTATTCTTCAACAAGGGTTGTGACTACACCCCTTTGTATATTTTAAACAGGCAACGACGTGCGTGTCCCGACATACCCTAGTTATCGTTAACAATGACATTCTTCAACAAGGGTCAAGACTACACCCTTTGTATATTTTAAACCTTAAATTTCTGTCGCCGTAACGTTCTATAGCGAGACATGTGCTGGACATACCCTATCTATTGTTAACATTCTTCAACAACATTATACATGTATACCCCTTTGTATATTTTAAGCCTTGACCACCTGCACCTTTTACGGCAGGTGTTGTTATTCTGTTGTCGTTGAGGAATTTACTCCCACCTAATAATGTTCCCCCCACCGAATAATGACTCAAATCATCAGGCGCTTGACCCTGCAAGAGCGGACATTTATTCAGTGTGTTCAGAGTCTTATGCTATACTACACGTACATTTTTATTTCTTGTGAGTGTTTTTATTTTTCAAGTCTTAATAAATTTTCAGTGTTTATTTTTTCAAGTCTTAATAAATTCTCAGTGTTTATTTTTTCAAGTCTTAATAAATTTTCAGTGTTTATTTTTATAAGTTCTAAAAATTAATAATATCATGGCTGGTTCAATCGCTGACAACGCTGCCATCTACAAAAAGAAGCCGTTTACGTACGTTCCTCCATCACCTCCGGCTGGGTTAATAGAGTCTACGTCCTACACATTGGACTTTACAGCTAG